CCAGGAGGAACGTGGCAAGTATGAAGGGCAATTGCATCCAAGAAATAAAAACAGAAGAACTGAGGACCAAGCTGCAAACTAGACACTTTCCAAGAAGAGTTTTTTGTTTGGGGGTGGGCTGGTTTTGTCTTTTTTTTTTGGAAGAGCAATGGGCATTAAACACTGCCAGTGCTCTGAAACATCAACAGAGGAGCTCTCCATTTGTTAATTCCAGCAGCTGTCCCAGAGGGGAGCCCTGCAGAGGCGCGCGCAGGAAAGCTCACAGCTAGCAGCGCAGAAGGTCAGGCTGGCAGGTTTGGCTGGCTGTGAACTGCAGTCACGCCTGTGCTGTAGTCTCCTCTTGCTAGGGTAAATCACCCTGTCCTGAGCTCTCTTCTGCCATGGGCACGCTGCTACACTTCCAGAAGCAGCCAGTTTAAAACCAGTTTGTGTAACTCTGCGGTACGTTCCTCTCTAGAGGTGCAGTATGCATACCTTTAGAAACAGTGATGTCTACAAGGTAGGAACCTGCTCAACTCTCCAAATCCAGGCAGCCAATTTTATGGGAAGGTGGTTGTACTGAGCAGCACAGCAATTCTTGTCATTCCTGTAACAGCAGTGGACTTTGCCCAGAGGCGTGCAGCCTCCCTGACCAGTCCAGCTTGTATTTGAACATTTCCTACAATATATTCTAAAATATTTTGAGTATTTTGTAGCCATGAAAAATTAGTCAACACCACTCCAGAACAATGAACTCCATTGGAACATTTCCTATTTTTTCGATGACACTTTCTCCTCTGTAACTGTCTGTCCCCCATCCTTGCGCTGAAGGTGGAAGGACGGTGACTAACCCATCAATCCTTTGGGCCTTCGCCACAGTGACAGAAAACCAAAGCCTCAGTAGAGACTGAGCAGAGCTGTGATGAGTAGAAGGGTGTAAAACCACTACACCCATTTGTTACAAGGGAATCAAACTGGTTTTTCGTGAGGTGTCATTACAAAGCCCTGCCAAAACGCCAGACCTCACCTTCCTAATAGCAGGGAGCAGAACAGAATCGCCTATCCTTGACTGCTCAGTGCTAGAATACAATCATCTCACCCATGGTCACGACACACCTGCGCAGGAGGTCAGGAGCTCGCAGTGCTGAGACAAAACAATCTCGTCAGCAAAGGCAGGGCAGAAGAGAGGCTGTGGCTCGGTGCCAGCCTGATGGCATTGCTAAGACAGTCAAACATGTGCAATCTGGTAACAGAAACACCTGAAACATGCTCTGTTGCAAGTAGGGAGATGCCTATTTATTTCTCATCACCAGCTCAGCAAGCTTCCTCTGGGCTCTGAGGCAAACAAGTTGCTTACCTGCTCCCATAATAAGAACCAAGTTGCACCATCACTTACATCTGTGGACCTGGCACTTTCCAAAGGCTTGCACAAGCATCAGCGAAACTTGGTAAACAATTCTCTCAGCGAGCAGAGTCCAGCCCACTCATGCCGTGTTTGGCTCTGCTGTGCTACAAGAGGTAGAAACTCATCCTAGTGCTTGGTGACCACTAGCACCAGCAGATTTGAATAATATACACACAGATCTACTGCAACAGAAGGTACCCCTTCCACAGCTTCACCAGAGGCTGCACCGGAGCCCTGTAATGCACCGTAGGTCCCTGCATTCATACGTCACTGAAGGTACTGAGCTTCCACAGCAGTAACCATGTTTGCGTGATGTAAATGTTATTCTGCGTCACTGCAGGTACTGAGCTTCCACAGCAGTAACCACATGTTTGCGTGATGTAAATGTTATTCTGCACCTGAAACCTCCTACATATCCACCTCAGGCTTGACTCAAGTTTGCCTCCATGCATCTTTGCTCACTGGAGACGCAAAATAATTTCTGACCTGCTTTTTCATCAATTGCTCCTCTTCCTGTTTCAAGTAATTACAACCAAGCCACCTGTTTTCCTTTCTGGCACTGAGGCGTGTCTGAAGAAGAGCTTCCTCCACACCTAAGGGCAAGACTAAAAGTTATTTATTAGACTGTAACACTCCTCCTGTGCATATGTCCCCTTTGCAATCTCTCTGTAAGAGGGGGAATGGTGTTCTTGGTTACCTTAACTCCACCTAAAAAGCACTTTTATTCCTCTTCCTCTTGCCCTCCCTCTCCTTCCTCTAGCATAAGCAACAGAAGATCTCTTTTATCTCTCCCACTACTTTTCAAACCAAAACCAGTCTCAGGTCAGCAAAATTAGGAGCTGCAGCAAGAAAAAGCCAGGAAAGCAAAGTGAGAGAGATGAGGAGTTTGACAAGAGTGCTACAGGAAAGCCTTTGAAGTCTTCAGCAGCTCCTGTTGAGCATTACTAAGAACGACAGATTGCAACTGCATTTGACCCCAGATATTTGGAAAGAAAGTTTGATAATGGCAATTTTGCCTTCACACACATCCCAGGCAGGAAAGTACAGAAGGATCTCATCGGCTTGCCCAGAAAACGTAAGATGGGATTTATGGAGGTGCTTAATTAGGATGCAAAAAAAGTATTGAGAGGAGACGGCTTGATCAGGGATAGAAGAGGCTCTGGCTAAAGCAAGGTTCCTCCTCTCTTGGGGCCAGGGCTATGGGCACAGCAATGTCAGGCTCCGCCACACCAACAATGCTGGTTTACTCCTGCTTTGGAAAACAGAAGCTAGTCAGCCTGCCAAAAGAAATGCTGGGAGCTGACCTAATTATATGGGGAGTACCGAGGCAAACCAACTTCAGCATGATGCAATGCTCCTTTCCCTGCCCAGCTCTGGGAAACTGCTTGCCCCCATACAAGCAAACCTCTGGTTTACCCTTCTTGTATTCACCAGACACTTGAGGGAAACCCTACTGCCCACTTCTTTTTATCCAGCAGACTTGAACTTCCAGTGCCTCTTGTTTCTGTAGCTCTGTCTGGTTGTTATGTTCACCTCTTACCTTGATGTTTCTCCAAGGACACGGGGAGGTGAGTAACCTCCACTGGAACAGTGTCCAAGGACTGAGTTTTTGGGACTGGTTGAAGCTGCAAGGCAGAGCTAGCTGGGAAGTGCCATCTAGAGGCCAAAATGTGCTTTTACCTAATTTTTATTTGTGACTTCAATCGATGGTAGTGCTTGCCCCTTTCACTTCAGTACCACCCCATTCTCTCACCCCCTCTCAGGGTGAGGGCAGTGTTATCCCCGATTCACAGCTGAGCCGCTGATGTTCTCTGCTGGGCTGCACCACCAGTCCCAGAAGCAGGACCGTCCTGTCTGGGCAGCGCTGCATCCGAACTAGAACACGCCGTCCCTCGGGGCTTTCTGCACTTACCAGCTTGGGGTCAGCACCTGCCTCTTCTGCTCATAGCAGAGGCACACCTGAATTGTCCACTTTCACCAAAGGACATTCCTTCTAGTACCAAGCTACGAGTTTAATGTCAATCAACTACATTACAAAAAGCAGAAGCGGGCCCAGCTGTACGCAAAGGAGCAAGGAACAAACATACTCCAGTCCTTCCTCACCCCTTAAAGCAGGTGAGATGTCCGGCTTTTTACAAAAACCTGGGGACTAAAGCCATGTCTCTCAGCCAGGTGTGGTTTCACCATGAGTGTTCTTTTCATATGTCACAATTTTTTTTTTTTTTTATAATATAGATGGGGCACAGGGACACAACCTGCAGAAACGATGAAGGAAGAAGGGGTCTTTCCATTAACACTGAATTCAGCACACTGATTCATCCCACGAAGGCTAGCATGACTTAGATCTTTGAAAGCAGCATCTGTCTCCCACTGAAATGGGACATGCGATGACACAAGCAGATTCCAGAAACCCTAGGAACCACAGAGATTTTTTTTTTTTTTTTTTTTTGAACAACATGCTGCTGAAGAATTGCACTCTAGAATTCAAGCTTTAAACATTTAACTCTACAAGCTGGGAGGGAGAAAAAAAAGAAAAGCCCAAGGTGGCTGACTGGTGCAAACCAGAACTGTGTGCACTGTCCCAAGCAACTGACTAGTATTTCCTTCAAGATAAGCAAGGCAAAGGCTGGTAAAACTAGCTAACTGTTAAAGCAGCAAATAAAAATTTCCAGGGAAAAAAAAAAGCCCAACATAAAACTCTCCAGAAAATAACCAGAAGTTAGAACTGATTTCTAAGCAGTGTATTGAGCTCCCAGATGAGGGTAAGGCTCATTGAGCAAGGCACGTCCCATAGTTCTGAAATTTGAAACACCAAAACTCCTGGGGAGCCAGGAGGGAAGTTCCAACTCTGACCTAGACTCTTCATTTAAGAGTAAAACAGAACTGAAGCACTTGGAAAGATTATAGGGTAAAGTACACTTAATATAAACGTCAAACTAAACAGCTTGGTGAACATAGTATTATCATAACCATTTTTTTGTGGAAAAGTTTTTTTTCATGTACTAAGTGGTCAAAGCAACAAAAATCCCCATTCCCAGCAATAACATGTCAGACACGATGAGAGCTCCGTGCAGTAGGATCTTCCAACCAGCGCAGTTCTTACAGGAAGAAAGTGAGCTATGGTAAAATAGCATGTGCTGACGGACAACAGCCACAGCAAAGATTTCTCCTGACACAAAGGGAATGATTAAAATCCTGTTTATGCTGAGATGTTCAGAATGGGGTCTGCCCTTTCAAAGATAGAACACAAAATTAGGAAGTCATCTCTTCTTTATTTATTTAGGTTATATTTGAATAGGAATAGGCACCTGAAGAAACAAAGGCACGTGCCCTTTGACAAAGGGAGGCCTAGCATGCCTGTTCTCAGCTTTCCTTCTGATGCCTCAGCAAGAAGCCAAATCACCCACGAATCATGGAGGGAATGACACAATCAGATTCAATGATTTCAGAGATGGTGGCAGAACTCCTTTTTGGCATAAGCCTCTCTTTCATCACTCTTGTGTAGAAAAAAGCCAAACCACAGAGAGGAACCACTCGTGAGAAGTATTTCATTAACCAGTCTGCAGCTATGAGAAGAGGTGGCTGTTATCACCAGAGCAACAAAACAGAGCACAAGGGTGGAGAGGGAAGACGAAGGAATGCTGATGTGCTGGGTTGGGATTGAAGAGGGCACGGCAGGGTGTTTATTCATAGTCCATGGGGTTCAGCAAAGTCACATCAAAGAAAAGAACTGTTAGCACAGCTCCTGCACGAGGGTTTTTTCAACCCAGATAAAGCCATCCTGATAATGGTGAGGAGGAACTTCAGGAAAACTCCCTGTTCCAGAGAACTAGGGAAATTTGCTTTAGTGTTCATTTTAGGATGTCAAAGCAATCATGAAAATCATGTAAAAAAAAAAAATCCATCTAGGACTTCTCAGGCCTTAGCCCGGCGTAGGTGGGGGTAGCTCTGCAGAGTCCTGTCTATTGCTTCATCCAAGCTCACCACTGGTTTGTAGCCCATGTCTCTCTTGGCCCGTTCACAGCTGTAGTAGTGAAACGTTCCAGCCAACGCTACCCGCATGGGGGTAAAAGTGGGCTTGATGGTGACCAGGGGGCTCAGCAGCCACAGCACGAGAGACAGGAATAGGGCCAGGTAATACGCCAGCCAGTAGGGAATACGGTACTTGGGAGGGTCGTAGTTCAAGCCAGTCAAGATACGGGACATGAAAGCCCAGAAAGGAACTGGTTCATCATTTGTGATATGAAATGCCTGAAAGAGAGGAAGACAAAAAGCCAGATGATAAAATCATTACGGTTTTCACAAATGTGTCTCTGTGATGGCCCATCTCGTGTTCATGCTGAGAAGACTGACATCCGTGACTTGACTAAGAACATATTTTCGTGAGAAACTGCTTTGCACTAACCACCTCTGTCTGGAAAGTGATGAACCCCTTCTTTGCTAAGAAAGCCAGCTACATCCAGCACACCAGACGTGAAGATTACTCATAAATGGTCAAACAAATTACACAACACAACGCTAACACATTGAAGCACCCTCGCCCTATGTACCGTGCATGCCCAGAGCACGGTGGTGCCGTGAAAATCTAGAGAAGTTTCTCCTGTTCTGAACTCTATTGGAAAAGAGAAATTACTACGTTACTTACACATGCATCTTGGCTGCCCACAATTCTGCCTGGATTTCCTTTCACAAGGAGTTTTATAACACGAAGTTAAACTCTACTCATACATCTTAGCCCATGTGGTTGCACACAGTGGTCACCAGATGGGCAACCATTCATTATACCCACAGACAGAAAAAAAAGGGACCGGTTTGGGTGTGCTCGTCTCCAAGATAGATGTTCCATGCAGACAAAAATCAGCATGAGCTCCCAAGCAGACACATGAAGCCAAGCAAGGCTCGCAGATAAAGTTTGGCTAGGGGATGCCCACTCCCCTCCCCTTGCTAGGTCCTTCCTTACCTTCCCACACAGGGGAGAGTCTTTCTGAAGATTTTCTGCAGCTAGGATGTGTCCATGGACCACATTTTCCACATAGGTGAAATCTACCAAGTTCTTTCCATCCCTGCACAGACAAAAGGAGGGAGTTTAGTCCTGAGGCAAGTTAGGCTGAAAATCTGCTTGTGACAGAAGAAAGGACTTTCTCACAAGATACATTTATTCCAAGTTTCCTCTTCTCCTGCCCTCTTGTGCTTCAACTTCAGGCTATACCCTGTCAGAGAGATGACATCGCTGCATTATTTTGGAGCCAAAGGAAAGGCTGTTACTGCCTCAGCTCATTCCTGTAACAGTACCATTTTTAAACCTCACAAGTTACCAAGTTTCTAGGTGTTGCAGATCCTACCGGTCTCAGAACCAGCAGAGTGATCCAGAGAAGCAGAACAAATAGAAGCAGAGTGGTGACTAGCACAAAGTCATTTAAGGACAAGCTTTCAATGATGGATTTCTTGGCTCATGACATTCTAACTCACTCCCTCAATAAGCCAACTTCAGCCCTAGCTGAAACAGGTTTAGCCCACTGGGTTAAATTTATTTCTACACAGGAACAGAAAATGAAAATGAATCTGAACATTACTTTCAAGAGTCCAGCTAAATCAAACAAACACTTTGTTACAAACCCCTCACTACTCATTTGGCCATTAAGCCAGTATTGCTGCAATCCAACATTCTGCAAAACCATGATTTTCATTTCCTTCACTCATGGATGAACAGCTATTTTATTTGTTTCTTGGAACGGATATACAGGTCTGTATAGTGGTAGGAAAACTCAAATGAGGAATGCGTTTGAGCTGGAAGAGAGTGCAGACTTGCACAAAGTGGAAACCTTGAGTTTGTGTAGGTTTGCTGCTGACAGATCAGTTTGAGAGATCAATTCAGAACTGAACTGTAAAGAAGAACAAAAAAAAAAAACAAACCCAACACAAAACCAAAAAACCCACAACCCTATTCCCTTTCTTCCTTCTGCCCCAAGCACAGATTCACCCGTGCACATATACACACAAACCAGCTCCTTGCATGTAAATAAAAATATTTTATAAACTAAAGAGCACATTTCTTTTCAAGAGCATAACACAATTGATAAACATATCCTTAGTAGCAGCTTGAACTATTTATTTCTTTAAAATTTCAGAGGTCCACTAGAAGCTCTGCAAGGCTCAAGAACAAGTCAAGTATCTTTGATCTTATAATCAGAAATATGAAAACACTGCCATATAGGCTTTTTAATTGCAAGAACCTCAAATACCAGAAGTGTATATTAATTAACAGCAAGTAACCTGAGCTCTCTCATGTTTAAAAGGACAGCTCTTTAGACAATGCAATGACAGCTCAAGCTATGTCAGCTTTCCCCGCCGATATTCTTTTTGCATTATGAACGCTCACCATCTGAGTGCCTGAGCCCCTAGCAGGGAAGAATTTTTTTAAAAAAAGAATCATGGATCTCAAGTGAAAAATTCAAGAAACGTACTTTTTTCCATGCCATGACAACACTACTGATTTAATCTTACTCCCTTCCAAAAGCGCTTTGTAGGTTCAGCATCAATTTTATCAAAAGCTATAAAATGACTGAGCCTTGCTCACCCAATTATGAACTTCATTTTGCCGTTCTTAGCTGCTTGGATGAGGATGGGAACTAGCTGAGGGTCTCTAGGGCCGAATATTCCATGGGGACGAATAGCAGTAGTGAAGAAATTGTTGTCTGGGTCATTCGCACTGAGCACTTCCTGAAGGGAAAAAAAGAAAACCAAATCAGGAGAGAAAGGCTGGGAAGAAAAATCTGGCTTAGTAATCTATTCCAAGATCATCAGTAAAGGGGGTGGGTGTTCCCCCATCTCCTTGGAAAGACATCAGTGGAAGAACTACTGCCCACCCATATCTTTACAAATGTTCATTCCTTTGTTCCCATCTCTTCTGCCACTTCTCTTTAATGAGAAAAACAGACAAAAATCTGTTCCCATTATTGAACACTTAATGGATGGACAGGCAAAGGAAGGGAACTCTGCCTCTCTCATTTAACACCACAGAAACCAGAGGAGCTTTGAAAGTTCCTTCACTCCATGAATTCTTTGTGGACATTCTGGAGAAAAGGAAGACACGTAAGCAATTCAGTCTCTGTCTCTCTCATCAGTCCGTGGCAGATTTCCATCACGGGCCTTCTCGGTCTCATTCATGGTGTGATCCCATCCTCCTGGCAGCACCAAGTGCTAAGCAGATTTAGCATGGCATCTTTGAAGAAGATTTAATTCTGTGGGAGTTTCCAAACAATGTGTTCTACTAATTTTTAACAGCTGCTGAATCTTCTATGAAAAATCCACAAGCAATGCATACAAATAAACTCTGAATACTTTCACTGTCTCACCCAACAGAAAGACATAATTACAAGTATATTGGGCTAGACTTCATTGTTGCTCACAAGCTTCTACTTTATTAGTCCACTTTACTGCCAAGGGGTTATGCTTGCAAATGAACAGATGTTTTTATGCTGCCTGTTCAATTTAGCTCTTTTCAAGGAATATAACCAAAATTCTTAAAGGCTAATGTTCAACTTTAGAGGACACACTGTCAGCTTCAGTATGGAAGTAAGTCTTAAATTCTTACACGAAAAGCATATATTCTTTCCGCTGCTGAAAAAAACCTTGAAAAAAATGTTTGTTTACTTTGCTTTAAAACATCATCATACCATATTTAAACCACAAATACTGCAGCATTAAGAACCTGAAATAGAACAGCTACTGATGAGCTGCAAATGTCCAAAAGTAATTGAAATTCAGATGTGGAAGAAATTTTTTACATCTTTTTTAACAAGCAGATTTTCAGTACATAGCCAATAGCGTTAGTTTACAACACGTTATTAGGCTGGCATGCTCCCTAACTCAGTCCACGTCTCCATCTCATCTCCTTCCCCACTGACTTGTTCACAATCCCAGCTAACTGCAGGCTGCACATCACGTAAGCGTGTTTCTGAAACAGCCTTCGAGCTGGAGCAGAGAAGGCAAAAATCTCCCCTCAGCTGCTCTTAAAACGAAGCTGGATCAGTTACGATTATCACATGGCTCTTGCAACGAAAGCGACATCTCTGCCAGTTCTTTTATTCTTGCTCCAGAAACAACCCTTGTAGTCTAACACACTATTTCATTCAACTTCCCTGGTAATTTATGTTACAGCTTTGTTTTATTCTCTTTTTATGAAGTGAAGGCACTATTTAGGAGTTTCACCCGCTAAGCAAGACATAACGGAGTGCTTCTGTATTTGGACGGCTAACCAACTGCTGGGAAAGCGGCCCCTGGCCTGACCCGCCAGCGTGCCAAGGGAAAAGGATGTGGGTCATTTGTGAAAGACGCAAGTGGCAGCCACCTGCCACATTTCTCTGTAACAGAAAAAATGAACCCCACGCTCGCTAGCCTCCGTGCTGAGGATAAGAGGGCTAAAATCTGACAGATTTGTCTAAAAGAAGGGAATTTTCTATTTCAGTTATACTCTGAAAACTATTCAGGCATTGCCATGATTCTGTGCAGATTTTCTGTACAACTGTAAGACTGAGATACTTCTCTTTAATGAAACAGAGATTCTGGAGAACAACAGAGATCTGTTCAGTCTTGAAGAGTCTGTTGCGTCCCCTCGGGCATGCCCTACTTTTAGAAGGGCCATTGAAGCACCAAAAACAACAACGTTAACCATATGAGGACAAGTACCTTCTCCTGGAGGATCTTCATCTCCGTGTAATAGTCGATAGGTTTTTTTGCATAAGGGAGGTCTTCTGATCCATTTTTTATGTCTGTGCCCTCAAAAACTACACTGGCACTGCTAGTTAACACCAGTTTCTGCAACACATGTCAAAGAAAACAGTCGTTTAAAGCCTAAGACAAAAGGGTCATTATTTACGAAGGCTGAGTAAAGACAATAATGATGTTTAATCAACTGATTCTACAGATAAACTAAGGCTAGAAGAACATGGGCTAACAGAAGATGATCTGAAACTGCAGGTAAGAAACTCCCACTCTTTTAATCGACTCTGTCACATTGCTTAGTGGTACCTAAAGGAGATTAAAGCATTTCAACAAACATCCAAGGCAGCCAGTCAAGGGGAAAACATCTCCAGGAAAATCAGAGCGCCCACTTGGCTTGGCACATTTTAGCACTTAACACACAATGAGTGTTTTTAAGATATATTTCCTCATCTTAACGATATCAGTATCATGGTAAATGAAACCAAAACACAATTCTTATCTTGGATGTTTGTGTTGGACAAAAATGTACCCTAGTGGATTCAAATACAGGAAGTCAGTGATGTATCTGAGTAATCAGAAACATGTGGTTTTCAACAAGATCTACATTGTAACAGAAAGATGATGAGATCCAACAAGTTCCGACAAGATTTAACTCCCTACTCTGACAGAATCCAGACTAAGCCTGAAGGTAAACACTGCGTGGCCCTTTTCCTACAACAGCTTATTACACGAGGCGGGAGGAAAAAAAAACAACAAACGCCAAAGTGTGGGGCTGGGAGTCCTACGTGGTATATATACATCGTTTAATTCTAAGCATTAGCACTGGTACATGGACACTGCCCAAAATGCATGCTTTGGAGGCAACGTCTCTGCCCAGAATAAGTGAGGGATCTTCACATGCATTGCGCTTGAAAATTTGCTAAGAATGTAAATGAAAACTCGTGTGATAACAAAATAACATATGGGGAAAAAAAAAACTAAACCAAAAAACTTGCCTGAACAGCAGCCTGGTTTCCTCTGGCTCCTTCTTTTGTGGGCAAATGAATTTCTAAACCAAATTATACTGAGATTACAGTACAAGTGTGTTCCTTCCATTGTATGTCAAAGAATTCACATAGGTAATACATGCCATGAATGCTTCCACTGCTGGAAAAGCTATCCTTTGAGCTGTCTCTTTATTAAAGCATGAAAGAATCCACTTGTCAATCACAGTTCTCCTGTGGCTGATTCCCAAATGTCTAACAGGGCAGCTTTTAATGGATGCTTTTCCTGCAGCCAAGAGGATTGCAATGTGCAGGTGTTCTGCAGCAAACATGGACTGAACTTACACCAGACACTATGTGGGAGACCAGCTGAGTCTCTCCTGCTTATTTTCATAAACAAGCAGGAATTCAGTGGCTTGGAGACCTCTGCCACTCTATCCAACAAGACTTAAATTGGTCTGTGCTGCCATTGTTAGAAAGTCACATCAGTGTTCTACAGTCTCTGTGTGCTTTTCTACCCTTACCTGCACTCCAGCTTCTTTGCAGGCTTCAATGACAGCTTTGGTTCCCATAAAATTCACCTTGTAAAACAGCTCCCTGTTGTCACTTGAAGGCGCTGGTGATGCACAATGAAATGCCACTGACACTCCTTGTAAAGCTGGGAGCAAAGCCTAGAAGATATATCACATGAGACAGCAATGAAGCAACAGGAGTTGCTTGGAAAAATAAAACAAAGAAGGATATAAACCACAGTTCTTTTCCTCATGGAAACAAAGCTGCTACATTTCAAGTCATGTTCCTTTCACAAAGGTGAGCAGCTGGAATAGGATTAGCACCCTTGATCTTCACAATGTCATCTCCTTCTTGATAGGCAAAAAAGCACTGCATCATCTTTCCTTCCCAGAGAAGAACCCGAGAACTTTCCAAGACCTGGAGGCTATCTAGACTTAACTACTTGCAATAGTCTCAAGTGCAGGTTTGAGACTCAAAACTACCTGGAGAGAGGAGTTGGAAAACTCAGCAAGCAGCAGGTTTAAGAGCCAGCAGCAGCCCACGGCACCGTCTGTGGTGGAGCTGACTGTCACAAAGCTCTGAGATGTGCTACTTGACACTGGTGGGGAAAAGTCTCTTCACATTGCAGACAAATGTTTTGGCCAGGACTCACTTGGAATAAGGCACTCTGCGGCGCTCAGGCAGCTGAGGTTAGCTAGGGGAGCACCCACATGCAATTACCAGCAGTGACTGTAATTACATATCTGAGCTAGCAGCAATGCAAATCATAATACAGAAACAACTTCTGCTCTTTTCAGCTTCAAGCAGACATCAAGTATATTTCTTTAAATGTTCTAGATGAGGGCTCCACAGAAAACTGTTTAGGCTCCTGACTTCACAAGGAAAGGCTGAGGGGCACGTCTACATCCCCCTTTACAACCTGTGCAACGCCTCCAGGTGCGTTAGCGCTTCAGGCACGGCTCAGTAAGCTGCTTGAATGAACGCTGATTTGAACAGACATCCTCCCTACCTGCCCACGTTACGTGCTGTTGTTAGTCTGTACCTCTTTGTCGCAAAGGTCTCCCAGGAAGAACTGCACTCTGTCGTTGTCAAATCTCTTCTGAATATCAAACACGTTGACCGCATAACCCTTCTCCAGGAGCTGCTCCACCATGTGCTGGCCTAAGAATCCTGACCCACCGATCACCGTACACTTCTTACCAGCCTGCAGAGACAGGGAGAAAAGCACTTCAGCAAGCAGCCATACGCCAACAAACCACACAAGTGAACCGATCTGAATTTCCTGAGACCTTCACGTGCTGCGAGTTTGCACAACTAGTCAGTAGGGAGTTTAATTGAAGGAGTCTATATTCAGATATCAAAACCCTCTTCAATATGTCTGTGCTATTCACAGTAACTTAAAAGTTCAGACAAGCTAATGGTTCACACAGCTCACGTGCTGCTTGTATTTGGTGGGGCTCTGCCTCGTAACCAAGCAGCACAAGTAGTAAGGAAGAGAATTGGCTCTGCCAAACTCTGCCCTGATGGTAAAGCAAACAGAATTTGCTTCAGCCACATGGCACAGATAATTCAGAATTCTAAAACTGGTTTTGTCCTTGCTAACAGTGGCATTCTCAGAGCATGTGAAAATTAGGCTCCTCCAAGCCAAGAAAGCAATCAGGTAAAGGCAAGGCTTATCCTTTTTAGTTGGTCATTAGTTCTTACTTTCTTTTTTTAAAGCTTTTTAAAACCAATGGCTAGAGACACTGATTAATGCATTCCGGTCTGGTCAGTCACCTAACTGGACTGAGAGTGAAGACTTTGCCCCCAACATAGAACATACAAGCGACAAGTCTGAGGAAGCTTTTGTACAAAGAGTGCTCTGTCCTGGTTGGAAAGAGATCTGCTCCTTATTGTTGCTACACAAAACCCCACCTCTGCAGTTACAGGATCAAGCTGAAGGGAATTTTAACCCAGGAAAGCCCCACAAAGACGACAATTGTTCAGAAGTTTCTAAGTCCTACATCCTTAAACAAAGGTTCTACCACAAAGTGTCAGTTATCCACAACAGAAATTAGAAGAGTTCACTGCGGTTGCTCAGCCACATTGAAGCATAACCAGTTACTTAGAACAGCACACACAAACTGGAGTCAGATTACAAGAATTTTTAAAAGTTCTAAGGAGTTGGCCCAGTGCTCTATTTGGTTTTGATAGTCGCAAGAGAAGAGATGATATAGAAAGAATATGCGAGTCCAAGGACACTCTGCATTTTACTCGCCTTGTAATCCCCCACTACAACAGCTTTGCATTTGCTTTACTCATCAGTTTCCCGATTCTCTGACCTCTGTGACATCCCTCCCTGCTGCAGTGTCCTCTCCCCATTGAGGGGTCTGGCTTTTCCAGCTCCTCCTCAAAAGGCAGCTGCCCCATTCCACTGATATTTTTCCTTGCCTTCCCCTGTACGCTGTCTTCATAAAACAAGATGCGCTTGGATGCACTGAAGTAAAGTTTTACAGCGGCAGAACAACGCCCTCTGTCTGGTTCTAAATATCAGAATCATTTTCTACCACTGCAGGTGAGATGCTCCAGGTTTTTTGGTATGATAGGTTTCCACTCACCCACATAAAGGACAGCATTGTAACTGGTGATGAGAAGCAGACTAATTAAATAATCTTTAGTGCACCTTTACGATACGCAGTACAATTTAGTACACACACCTCTTGGGAAAGGACTAAATGAACCAACTCAGTGACCAGAATCAGTGTAACTACAGCGAACAGTGCTGCACTTGGATTAATGAGCTGTTTTTAAAAGTGCAGGGAGAAAGCCAGGCTACACATGATTATATTGATTTTAGGATATGAATTATCACCTATCTAGCGCTGGGCTGTGAAGATACAACAGCTTGTTCATGCTCTCTAACATGATGCTACATTGGGGGTTTCTTTGATTTTCTTTTTTCCCCTAAATATCTGAGATTCACTGGTTTTCCTTAAGCTTCATATGAATTACTGAGAAAATAGTTCAGAAGGTAGAAATGTCTCTATGAAGAGCCACAGGTAATGCAACAGAACCGCTTAAAAGAAATTGTACTCCAAAGAGTAACATCCAAACACTCTCTGAGCTAAGCAAAGTGTTACTCCTTCCATACTGTAACCTCCTGCCTTCGATGCAGCAATCACAGCAAGAGGTGACAACGGTCTAGTGGATCTCAGGGGCTGCAGCTGGGCCCCTGCCTGCACTACAACATGAAATCATTTTACAAGGCATGTAGAAATGATCCTGGAGTAAATAAATCTCCAGACCAATTGATTTGGCAGCACTGACAGAGCCCCTGGTGTTCCTGGGGGTTTGGAGCATTCCTGCATCTCTTGGGAACTATAACAGCAGCAAACTATTCCTTGGTAAACCACATTTTCCCTGGCAATTTCTCTGGAGTAGGCATTAAGGCAGAAACAGTTTCATGTCTTCTCTAGTAATGTTCACAAGAAATGCTTATGAATATATGTTTCTGTAAGACAAACCTTCATAAAACATCATTTAAGTCCTCAACTTACCGATCTGAGGCGTGCAGCCATTTCTCAGACGATTCCCTATCAACTTGATTCCTTTAAAAAAAGGAGAATATTGTTTTACTCACAATCCAGTACTTACACACACCACTAACACAAACCATACTCATTTTTAAACACCTTCCTAGTTATAGAAATCAAGGTTTGAAGCCATTATGCTAAAGCAGAAGCATGAAAAGAGTGAGCTAGTTCTCTCTGCCCTGCTGAATAAAATAAGCAGTACAAGAGTAACAGCCACATCCAATAGGTTTCTCAAAAGCATAATTTTAATATAATAAAATAACCTCAATAAAAAGGCACCATCTCATTTTAGCTAGCATGCATTCCTTTAAGTCTGAATATCTATACTCCAAATACCATGAACACCCTCGCAGGTTTTGGCTGCTAAGAAATATTAGTTGTTTAGCTTAAATAAATGAGTTTTAAACAGAACTAATCACGTAGAGTTGTAAGGTTGTGTGATTTAATATGCTGTTCACTTAGCAAGTAGCTAGATTTGCTGCAAACCATAAATTTCTACTTAAGTCTATTTTTCCTTTTAGCAGCTAGTACAGCGTGCTGTGGTTTGGGTTTTCAGTGTGAGAACAACATAGATAACACACTGAAGCTGTGGTTACGGCTAAACATTTATCCTAAGCCTGGGACTTTTGCAGCTTCTCATATTCTGCCCAAAAAACACAGACCAGAAGAGATGAAGGCTTCAAGGCTAAAACCATCAACAGCAGGTGCAACTCGTCAAGATAAGAACAACTGACAACCTGCCCAGAGACAGAATCCAGTGGGGAGCTGGATCCTGCAGCCTCCCCTACCCCCAGGACCCCAGCCACCCACCCCACAACCTACCCTCTACCTCACGTCTCCTCACACCG